TTTCTCTTCAACGGAAGACATTATTTACTCCTCAACAGAAGTCATCTTATTTTCCACATCAGCAGAAATTTCGTTTTTTAAAGAAGACATTTCGGAAGAAATATCAGTTTTGATAGAGGAAACATCGGAAGAAACTTTAGTTTCCAAGGAAGTAATATCACTTTTTATAGAAGAAACTTCTGAAGAAACTATTTTCCAATGAGGAAATATTAGAAGAAATATCAATTTTCATGGAAGACATATCAGAAGAAATTGAAGAAATTATAGCGGACGTATCATCCGAAAATAAAAACGTTTCCGGATCCAAACCTTCATTTTCTAGTGCTTTTTTAAGTCGTTCTGTCAGCTCTGATTTCTTCCCTGCCGTCTCTAATTCACGTTCTTCTAATTCTCGACGTAGCTCAGGCACTTTTAAATCACACAGTCTTTTAGCCATTATTGTCCACTATTTATTTATATTTCCACTTCTAACACCAATGTGACGAAAGTCTAATTTATTTAAAGTTTATTTATTTAAAAACACACTATTTACAATTTATTTCAGACGTACTATTTCATTTATATAATATTTGAACACTATCTAACAATTCTAATTTATTTCTTACACTTTTACTTTTCAATACAATGTTCTTCAACTTAACTCGGCGCTGATACGTCGTCTATTTATATTAGTCTAACTCCGCTACTGGAAAATGCTAGAGACTTCGCGAAGATGACTAAACGGCACTCTCCCGCCATTCCAGATGTTTCGAGTGAATTAGCGGCAGACATTCGAGAGCGGTCCGGCTGTTTCCACACGTCAGCGTTGCTTCGGTCACGAGTTGATTGCGTGCGTATACAGGGTCGGCTTAGGAATTCATGACATTATATAAGCCGTGCTGGAATTTTCAATCGACATAACAAACATTGGTGGTCCGACGTTAACCCCCATCGTAACTTTGATGTCCAAAATCAGGGACGTTTCGGTTTTAGTGTTTGGTGTGCCCTATTGGGCAATAGCATTTCAGCCTACCAAATTTATGTTGGAAAACTAAATGGCCAACGATATTTAGAAATTTTAAACGAACACATATTCGATGGTTTTTTTTGGACGACTTAACGCTGAATGAGAGGCGATTTTTTTCAACACGATGGGGTACCCCCTCACAATACTAGAAATGTCTGAATTGTTAAATCTTCATTTTAGAGCCAAATGGATAGGGACAAAAGGACCGTAAGGTAGCCAGATTTAACGCCCCTAGATTTCTTCTTTTAGGGATATATTAAAGTCAATTTATACTAAAATACTTCTAATAATATTGACGAATTAATGCAAAATTTTATACAGTTAATTCCATCTCCAATATCCATATTTATAACGCAATTCGGGATGTTTCCAAACGATATTGTTTATGTGTTGCGAATAATGGACATCAATTTAAAAATTTAGTCTACTAGTTTTATATTTTTTAATGATGTTGTAATTGGTAGAACAACATCGTCAATTTTACAATTCTTTGTCCCTGATTTGTTAAAAGTTCCATAATGCATGAGATTGTCTTTTAATTGTTTGAAAATAGAATTATTAGGTTATCTTTTTCCGGGAAACGATTAAAATATAATTAATTCACTTGCAACTTCAGAATTGTTATTACTTTAAGGAGAGAATTCAATTGCATTTAATTTTATTTCCTAATAAATTTGAAAACTATAGACATTAAAGAGCTAAGATTTCGTAGACGTTTTGACGACGGTATAAATAATGTAAGTTTGATAATAATAAAAATAAAAGTTTAAACAATTATAAAATAATGTAATACGATTTTTTTAAGTGGTCAAGCAAATACTCTATTAATAATCAAATACAAATACGCTGAAACGAATTCTCAAATGATTGTAATAACGGAGAAAATTGAGAAATAAAATACAAGCTAAAATTTCAAATAATATACACGGCAAACCCTGTTTTACCAACATACCATTTACCACCCATAGACGGAGATATTTTTTTTTTACTTTAAATGTTATTTGTATATTTTTCATCATTGAGTCAAAATACTTGATTTCAATTCTTTTTTCCGCATTGAATTATGATTTTTTATTTCACTTATAAATGATAATCGTAGAAATTGAAATGTTTGTTGATTAAGTTTTTTTTTTGCAATGAGCCTATCCGACATTTATTCTTAGTAAGTATTTAATAAAAATGTTCTTCTAATTTGACTAACAAAGTAACATTTTTTGTAATCGCATCAAGTGTCCTCATAATGCACCTACTTTAGGTACCTAGTTACATGAATTAAACTGGTTGTAATAATTATGTACATTATTGCAAAAAGAAAATAAATTAAAAAACTAACATTTTTGGTATTTAAATTAATATATCTATAGGTACCTGCATTGCGTTTGAAAGTGTATATAGGAAGAACGAAGATTGGTTATATAAAAATACATTTGGACAATGTACTTAGGTACAATTAGTAATAATTTTGGTTCGTTCGCTATTTTAAAAAGTCTTAATTCATCCTACAAACCTGAACAAAATAATCGAAACACTGTTTCACCCAATACACGAAAAAAAATTAAAATATTCATAACTTTGTACTGCAAAACAGCCCACTTTCTTGGAAACTAACAAGTTTTAACAAGAAAAAGGAAAACTGTTTGTGATGATAAATATTTAAATATTTTAAAAGTATCAGATTGGTGTGAAGTTGACTATTATTTTCATTTTGATTGGAAGTACAAAAAATTATTGGTTGGTCATCTTTTTCAAAAAAAAAAAAAAAAATTCTATAAATAGAAAAAATTTAAACAAACTAACCAATATTTAAATAATAAACACATATCACGGCGACCCTGACTCTTCCTAATTTCTTCTGCTTCTACATGTTGTAAGCGACCAACTCGTCTATACCGGTTAATCTTAGCAAAGTAGAGAAATATAATGAATAATTGGAATACTGTATATTTCGTACAGAGTTAAATCATATTATTTTTAATAATATTTTCGTGGTATACTAATGTCAAAAAGTATTGTATAATCAATACGCCCGGTAGTGACTCCTTTTTAAAAATATATTGAGATATAAAAAATATAGTAATTTTTTTGGGGCATCTTCAAAATATCCTATTAATATTATCATGTAAAACCTAATGCTTGTCGTAATTAAAAAATAAATCAGTCCTTTACAATATCCTGATATATAGTGCTAATGTTAAGCCTCAGTACAATTCCATTTCTAAATTCCGTTATTTTTAAAACAAATATGCATTTTAATAAAATATTTTTGTGCCAATACTATTTCTATTTCTACAAAAAAAATAAGACATCAGGATTTATAATATGGATCGGCATCACTGCAATATATCCGTCGAGTGCACAAAATGCGATCACCTGAGAGTCAGTAGCAGAAGCTTCGATCCAAATTAGGGAAAATAGTTTTGATAACGTTTTTGGTTTATCGCTGTTATTACGGGTTCGAATATAAGATATGTAACGGCTCCTGATCGCCGAGGAGGTCGTTTTAAACTGCCACCTTAAACAAAACATTCTTACAAATTAAAGTTTCTATTTTCATAGACCACTTTGCTCTTTAAAAGTGATGTCATAAGCAATCAAATGTTGTTCAGTATTTTAATAACATGCAATAACAGATATGTTGGCCTATCAAAAATATTCTAAATGACACAAACCCACTATTATAGATTATTTTAAAAATAATGAGATTTTGCTAAATATGTATACGTATACTATTTTATTTACAACCATCATATTTCGATCAAAGTTAATAAAACTCTGTTTCGTTCTGAACATACCTAAAATATTACATTTAACGATACATTATCAAGCGCGCGGTTTTCTCAGAATAATCAAGTAAATATATTGTTACTGTGATTACGGGGTAAACAACTGTGACCAATATAAATAAATGTCAGATAAAGCCGGATATTAAATTCGCGATTAATAAATATCAATAAGTAGTTTGTTGTATTTTAGTTCATTGTTATTTTTTATTGTTTGCCATTAAATAGGTATTATAAAATTTGTCAAAAAAATGTGTTATTTTTTTTAAAAATAAAAAATATTCATCTAGAATAGATGAAATGAGGGCGGGAAGTGAGGGCGGTAAGTAGAGGTGTGTAATATGACACTTCCCAACCTTCAATGACGTTAGTAATGACAACATTACATATATGGTTGTAAATAAATGAATAAACTGACCCCACATTATATATATCGTTATTACGGGAAAATTTTGCCTTTTTTTGTATGGCACAGCCACTACCTGTTGCATATAAAAAAAAACAACTTTATGATATAACTCGAATTTGAAGAATTAAAAAAAAAACATTGACTACGCCACTGGATTCTTATCAAATAAGTACTGAAGAAGGTATACATTATTTTCTTCTACTTTCATAAATAAGCGAGATAATGCCATATAATGAAAATTTGAAAAAAACAACTTTTGTTTATAACTTGAAAACAAAAGACAAGAGCCAATTTTTGAAGATGCCATTAAGTTTTTCATATCATTTATAGTTACCAAGATTCTCTATTAAAACATCGAAATTTGGCCACCTTATATAAAAAATATTTAAGCTGGCTGGGGACATGCAAATTTGATCACGTGCGACACAGGTAGTGTTAAAGAGAATGCATACAGGATGTTCTATCAACCATTTAACAGGGGGTTAACTTCTAAAAGTTAATAATTTGGATCATCTCTATCGAGATATTTAAGACTAAAAATGTTTTCAATTTAGAAACTTTTTTAACTCCTGTAATTTTTTATTACATTTAACAGTTTACGTACAAACAAATAAAATAATTTCTCTCGACATTATAATAAAATTTTCGTCTTTGGAAACTGTGAGATTTAAATATCTCGACAGATGGATCCAAATTGCAAAAATTTTAAAATAAATCCCATCTTAAATGGTTGGTAGGATACCCTGTTAAAATATTGGAACACCATTACGTAACACCCTTTATAATAAAGGAAAAGTGTACTTACACTATAAGATAATTCCTGTTTTAATATGGACATGGTTTGTTCATTTCCGGAACAACAAGCCAGTAGCGTGGGATACAAAATATTTGAAAGAAGCTCCACGGAAAAATACGGAAATGGTAAAGAAGATAGTTGTTGAAGGACGGATGGGGGTTGGCCACTTATCAACAGCATCTGAAAAATAAAAAAAAAAATAAATTAATTGGAATCATTAAAAATCGTAATAATTTATCATTGACAAAGAACATATAGCAATATTTCGCTATTAGGTATCATTGGTAAAAATCAAAATATTTATTATTTAAATTTAAAATATATGGTAGATATGGTTGGTGATATTAAACCAATAAAAAAAGCCGAATTTTAACCGATATTGCCAGGTAGAAGATTCATTTTAATATATTTAGCGGAATTTAAATGCAATCGGAAATGGTGAACCCTTGCTTCTTATAGTAAAAATACAGTAAAACTGCGGCCTTTATTTTTCCAGTAACAAGCAGTAAATACCCAGGCAGCACATATTAGTATAACTAACGTATTTTATACGTAATACTCGTTTAATTTTGGTATTGGTTGATTCCGTATACGTTTACAGTTTACGATTATTATACATGCCGTATTTTAAAAGATATATTATACGTATTTTGTATACATCCTATGGTATATAATTGTAAATTTGTCTACGTTTAAATGTAGTTAACAATATACGACTATTTTTAGTTTGCGATGAACTATTTATATACAGTGGGCCTAAATATACGTTTAGGTTTATTTAAATTAAATTCGTATAAATTTACATATTACAATATTTGTTCTTCGTTTATAACTCCCGTTTAAATTTCGTCTTGGTTGATTTTTTAAACGTTTACCATCTACCATTTTTATACTTAACGTTTTTTAACAGATAAATTAAACGCTTTTGTTTGTGGATACTAGTTAATATACCTATATTATTCTACGTTTAAATATAGAGTGTGAGAGAGAGAGAGAGAGAGATATATGCTTTATTGTCGTAAAAAAATTTACAAAAATTTTATAGACAAAGCGTGTAACTTAAATACTAAACATATTATAAAAATAACTAAACAGCAGAAAAAACAAACAGACAAAATAGGAATAACAATTGCAATGGATATATTATAAGTCACCTTAAACGCATATTACTAGTTTACGATGAACTAGTAGACAGAAGTAAATAATATGTATATATTTAGGTTTATTTAAATTAAAAGCTTATAGATATATTTATTTACATTACACCATATTTTTTAAATTATATTACATGTAATATTTATAACAAATTCCCCATTGTACCGATTTCAAACACCCGAACATTTGAATAACCCTCCAATAACCATGGTGGGGTGGACTAGTCCATGTCGTTTCAGTGAGTGAGATTCGGGGTGTGCTTTAAGCTAAGTCGGGCTGGTCCAAAGTGCGCGTAGTGCAGAGAATCGAGAGGGGAGTAAGGTACCGGCAGACGATCGGGAATCAGCTGACTGATGGTGGCTGTGAAGCTGTGAATCAGACAATTCACGCTATTATAAGTTATATTTCTGTTAACTAGTTGCCAACCACGATAATTGTTTTTTATGTAATAAAAAGTTATTGTAAAATTGTTGGTGTTGTTGTGCCCAGTTGCATTGCATGTTGCTTTGGCGTCCTGGCTTTTACGATATTGGTTAAAAGCATAGGTAAGTTTCTATTAATATTTTAATTTAGCTACTCTTTTAATAATTGTTGCATTTTACAACAACTACTGTTTTATTAGTGTGTAAAATGCTTATAGAAACTCCAAAACATAACCTTACTTTTGTTACTCTTATTTTTATACGTATTTCTATACGTATTTTTTAGGCTTTCTAGTTATTCCAAGCATACTTATTTTCCTTTTTTTTGGTCAGTTGTTTTTTATTTAATAAAATGTCTAAAATAACCCTGTCTCGGCGTCATCTACTAAGAAAAATAGCACAAAATGTTCAAGATGCTTTAAAGTCAAATCAATTTTTTTTTATTCCCAATGAAGATAACATTAATCAGGCTTCGGACATTAATATATCATCTGATTCTATTATTTATAATAATTTCCTAGAAAATAATACAAATTTAACTTTGGAGCTTTTAGAAAATATTTCACCTAAAATGGAGTTACATTTTGGTTATAGGAATGGGGGTGAACCAAGAGACCAACCGACCGAATGGTTAGAAGTGCTATGCAAGATTGGCTTAAGTTAGCTAAGGCCTGTCTAGGACACAACACATCCAAAGTGTTAAGCTAAGATTCTAATTTTCATATATATTTTTTGTTAGTTAAAGAAAAGTTTCGTTTAGTTTGTTATTCAGTATTTTAGTGTTTATGTTTTAGTACTTATTTATTTTTTAGTATTTTATTGTTTTTTTTTTATAAAATATTGTTCTGTACATATAACAAGAAATCAAAAAAATTTCCTAAATATTTAAGCCAATTACAACCAAAATAGAAACATGAGTAATACTTATTTCTAGTGTATACACACCTGCTATGGATGAAATCCAAACTGTCATTTAGGAATTATTAAAATTTTTCCATGACCTCTTTTAGAAATTTTGTTTTGATCACTTTATTTAATTTGTGTTTGAAATACATTTAAAAAAATATCAGGTAGACGCATTTTACACATTAATAAAATAAGATAAATCTAATATAGACGTATAGTAAAACAGGATAATAAAAGGTAGATAAAGTAGTAATGTTAGACGTATAAAAAATAAAAGAATATACGTTTATAGGGCGGACATTTTCACGTATATATTGGGTAGCATATCAAACGGTATCCATACGTATATTGTAGTACATAAAAAAACGTCTTTTATACCAAAATGGATTCGTATAAATATACTATAACTATAAATCTAATATAGACGTCTAGTAAAAACGTTTAATTATAGGTGGATAAATTCTTAGTAATCGACGTTTATAAGGCGGACATTTTCACGAATATATTTGGTAGTACATCAACCGTATTCATACGTATGGTAGTACCTAAAAAAAAAAACGTAATTTATACTAAAGTGTGCTGCCTGGGTATTAGAACATTTGAGGTGGGTGGTTTTGGCAGATAATTAACCCAGTGAAACAACGCATCTTTGCAAATGTGATAAAAATAGAAATAAAAATATCCAGTAAGGACTGTTCACAGTTGACGATATTTTAATCCGGATAAGCTATACGTCATTTGGCGAACGATGGAAGAACAGAACTAAGGTGTTTTCTTTTTAAAGTGGTCCCGCGCGGTCGCTGTCAAAACCGGAAAATAAGGAATGACAATTTTAGAATTTTATAAGCAGGGCCGCCAAAAGCCAGGTGGGGCCCCGGGACAATTTTATAAAAAAATTAAGCCCTTTCAATATCACATTTCAAAAAGAAAAGTTCTCAAGAAAAAACTTAGCTCCTTCTTAGAGTGAAATCTTTAAAAAAAGGTGCTCATCTTGTATTTTACATAAACCAGTGCTTCTCCCTTTTGTGGCAATTTCTAAAAAAATATAACGTCCTCATCTAAAGCTGCCGCGCCCCCCTTGTGCCGCTGCCGGGCACCCAATTGTGCCCGGGCCCCGGGAATTTGTCCCGGCTACCCCTCTCTCGTCGGCCCTGTTTAGAAGTTAGCTTGTGCTGACGCAGCAGGTCGAAGATCGGCTTGCAAGCTTGCATATAGAGTTCATATAACTCCTCCCCTGTTAGATGAAGGCTTCGGTTCTTCAGAAGTCGAAGGATGAATAATTTTGGGTTCCGTTTCTTTTTTGAATAATTTCATCATATGTTTGTTTTTCCACAAAAAACAGCCAATGGTTAGGATCACCAGGGTTCTGATAAAAGATCGTTGGAGATAAGTTTTTGATTTTGGTTCATCGATGTCATCTATGGAAAATTGATTGATAGCTGATAGTTGTATTTGTAATTTTTTTTTATTTTGTTGCTTCGGCTCATGTACTATATTTATTATTTCAAATAAACTAGTCGGTGTCGTACACTTTTAGCTACCTATTTCGTTGTTTTTAAATATTAATTATTATTTTATATGATTTTGTCCTGTGCAAACAAAATCATTCATAACAATTAGGATTTTGAATATTTTACGGTTAATCAATCTGGAAACATTTTTTTTTTTTTTTTTTTGGGTGTGTGTGTATACATATAATATATTAGTCCAATTTTAATTTTTTATTATTCAATAATTTATTTTTGACGACATGTTTGTCTCCATAGGACATATTAATATATGTTCTCTTGTACCGAAAATTAATGATGTTGAACATATTATACATAATAAAAACTACCTTATCTTTGCAATCACAGAAACTTGGTTGAATCCAGGTATTGACAGTAGACTGTTAAAAATCGATGGCTATAACATTGTACGTAATGATAGAATAAGAAATAGGGGAGGAGGTGTAGCTTTATTTGTTAAAAATTGTCTAAACTACAAAATAGTTATTACTGAGCAAGAAAACTTTATAGAACAACTTTGGATTGAATTTAAATTAGATAATAAAAAATACACTGTTGGAGTTTTGTACCGACCTCCGAACTCTGAACATACCATTTTTCTGGATAGGTTTGAAAATACTTTAGCCGCTGTTAATTTAGATTATGATCGTATAATTTGCCTGGGAGATTTTAATATTAATTTGTTAAATTTACAGTCAAATATTTCCCGTGACCTCCTTGCAATTACTGAATCTTTCTGTCTTTTCCAAAATATATCAGAAGCAACTCACCTAAGTGCTAATAGCATGTCACTAATTGATCACATCTACTCGAATTTTGAAGTCAGACAGGCAACCGCTTTTGATACCCAGTTAGTTAGGCATTTCTTAACATATTGTGAGTTTGGAACACTAGAAAATACCATTTCCTCAAAAACCTTTAGTTACAGAGATTTTCAAAGAATAAATTTATTTGAATTTCAAAATGAAATTGAGTTAATAAACTGGGATCTTATTTATGAAATAGAAAATATAGACAAAAAAATTGAGTACTTAAATAACAATATTCTTAACTTAATTAATAAACATGCGCCCATTAAAACGTGTACATTTAAAACTAGTAGAAGAAAACAACCCTGGATTACGGACAATGTTAAACTTATGCAAAGTCTTAGAGATAAAGCTCTACGAAAGTATAAAAAGTCAAAGCG